TATGCATATTATTATAATATGCATATTATTATATTATATTCTGCAGAATTATTATTATTATGCTTTGTAAAAATGGAGAGTTCAGAATCCCACTGATAGTTTTTTAGGGAGAAATATGCCATAGGTCAGGAAAAAAAAAAAAAAACACTGAAGAAACTATTTTTTTTCATAGGTAGGTCTAAATCTGGAGACAGGCTCTATATTCCAGCATCCTTCTATCAAACGATTGATTTTTCCGGTTGGTAGTATTGGAGGTGCTTCTTGTAAGCTTTTTTTTGTTCAGGGTCTGGCTCAATTCAGTGTGTTGAAAGATTTGTTTAGGCTGCGTGCTCTCCAAGGCAATATAAGAAGACATACCTGCAGTATCGGGGGGCAGAAAACCCCAACTCTACAGACACAACCTGTCATATGGATGTGTTACTGGTGCAACGAGCAGAACAAAAGTAGACTCCAAGAAATAGGAACTGAGCACAAGACAAATTTTAAACTAGAAACTAACAAAAAGATCTAGTGAAAATTCTCAAATCTAAGCCACAGACTTGAGAGGAACTACAGGTATAAGGTGTAGCCCATGTTGTTGTTTATTTTTTTTTTAAATCCCTGTACAGATATGTTTGAAAAGGGAAAGTGAAAAGCAAACCTTGAGTGGATGTTGACTGATGAGTCAAAACATTATCTCAGTATTAAATACCTAGTCAAATAATTTGGAAGAATCGTGCTGTTTTGACAGGTCACCCTTAAAATTACATGGTTTACATCCATTGGATTTTAAATTAATTTTAGCATAGCAGCTTTGTATCAATTAAGACTATCTGAAATACCTAAATTCAGTGCAATCCAGAGAACCAAAATTGGAGACTTCAGTGGAAGGCAGTGGGTGTTACTGGGAGAACAAGGCTGAAAATGTAGGTTGAATGCCTGAGACAGTTCCACCATCATATGCAGTGGATTTCCTCCATTCAACCTCTTCAGCATAAACTCCTGTTACTGACATTGGGTTGGTCTGTACAATGAAATCTTTGCTGTAATGCTACCTTAAAACTGTCATTCAGACTTCATCTCTAACACAAGCTCTTGCTCCTTTCACTTTGAGACATGTTGTGCTCCTCATTTGTAGCTGGGATTGAACACACTTTCTCAAAACCATACTGAAACAAAGGCAGCAGTTTCCCACACGTTCCCAGCACAGAGCAGAAAGCCGCACAAGTGAGCACATCCCTAAGCCCTGCTACAAGCCTGCTTATGTCTGTCAAGGGCGATGGGGTTAGTCCCAGTGTGACAGCCCTGTCAGAGGCCAGCACCCACAGCCCTGCACTAGCTGTTGGGTGAAGGCCCACAGGAACTGCATACCATCTTCCTCCTCACTTGTGGAGCAGCTGTACAAAACCGGGTGCTTTTCCCATCAGTTATCACTCGTACTTACTCTCCCTCCCCTGAAAATACACCCAAGAAAATCCTGAAGCAGGTAAGGTGTATATGCATACATGGTTTTGAAACATTACCATAGTGTGCTGTACTGATGCTTTAAAAAATCCCTACAGGACTTGTCAGCAGTTACCTTAAAAAAATTAATATATATATATGAAAACTGAAGCAGTGTTCAGGTTTCCATAAACATTTTGGTAGGGCAGAATCAAAATTAGGATGTAAAATAACCAAGTCCCAAGACCCGAGTGCTTATAGAAACAATGTATTTTTTCTTTTCCTGAGGTCTTTACTCATTCTGCAGAAACCCCGTTGGTACAGCAACAGACAGCATCCCAGTCACAGTCATCTATGACGCAAGCCACTAAGGTGAGCTGAAATACAGCTAGATTTCTGGAGACGTGGATTCCAGGTAAACAGCAGGGACTTCCAAGAATCATTTGCTGTAACACGTGGAAGACTTAGCTGAAGCAGGGGTCAGAGCAACTGCAGCAAAATAGCATTAATACTTTCAGCTGCACAGTAAGCAGGTTCAACCAGTTCTAGATCCCACTATTTCTGAAATGCTCAGATCTTCCAAGCTCATGAGAAACAACCCTCTAGGTTTAAAGTCAGTAGTCGCCAGTGGGTCACTCCAAAATCTTCAGTATAGTATTTTTAGGCCAGGGATATATTAATGGCTTACGAGATAGAAATAATAGGCAGAAGTCTTCTGCTCCTGAAAGCAGAAATGTGACACTGTAGAGAAGGCCTTAGATAAAGACTCCTGTACACCGGGTTCTATTCCTGGCCCTGTTAATAGCCTGTGAATGCTCTCAGGCAAGTCATTTCAACCCTTTGTGCCTCACTTTCATCTGTAAGGAGAGGGATAGATACGTGGCTCTTTTGCAAAGCCCTCTGAACTGATTAAAAAGTGCGACAGAAAACTGACTTGTATTTCTTCTTCAAATCTAGGAGCTGTATGTAGCAGAAGGCTCTGTGGTGGGCTTTGTGTAACAAGCTGCAACAGTGGTCTCAGTATTTCTTGTTCTCTCAAATACTAGGAAGCAAAGACGAGTAAAAACATTGTGTTCCACTTAACTGCAAACCAACAATTTTGTATTTTTCAATTTGCTGATTCTGAACAATTTGTAAATAGATTTAAGCCTTTGTATACAATTTAAGGTCTGCTCTTACTTATCTGTAAACCCCTTAGAAGCAATCCACAGACCACTATCCATTGAAATCTTCTATTCTCGACTTGTTTTGATCAACTGTTGAAGCAATACTCACATCCTCAGTCTCTGAAGCAAGGCCTTTCAGGACACTTTTGAATGGGCACATTAAGGGCAATGAAATAGCGGGGATTCCAGCAGATCACCCTGGCCTGAATCATCCTGATTGAACAGTTTACACTGGCCCACATCCATTTGTAAACCCAGATTATTCTCTGACCCCACCATCTTGTTTCTTCTTCATTCTGAGATTTTGGAAGGGAAATGCTTAGCTGTACTATCCCTTTACTTGAACAGATCTTCAAGTTGTTCATAACAATCTTCACTTCAGAAGTCATCTGAACCAGAGTTGCTCACCTGTCTCTGCAGGTTACCCTCACAAATAAATAGGAAACTCATTATCAGTATTTCCTTCAGTACTACTGCCTGCACTACTTCTCTCTATGAAGTAGCCTCATTAGCTAAGCAGTTCTAACTACTCAATGTTAACACATAATTAACATGTTACTGTCATCACTAAGCACTCCATGGCATCCCTTTCTGCATTCAGAAAGGAAGTTGATTTCTTCAAAGCAGCAGCCAACCCTTCATGTACATACAGAGAACTGAGTATCTTTAATGCTTCAATACATCTACATTTAAAATGAACTGGCACACAACAGCTCTGCCCAAACTGCTTATGCTGAAAGTGGCCCAAGTAAACTCTTTACCAGGTCTTGTGCCTTGCTGTTCGCAGGTCACCAAAAGGTGGTTGGTGGCAAAGAACCTGTCTGACAAGCATTTTTTTTTTTTGCATAATTATCTATAATATAAATCACATTATGGTTTAGTTCCACGTTCTGTTTGCTCTCTTTCCAATTTAAATAAAGAAAAGCTATGTTGACAAAGGCAACATTAACTTGCCACTATGAATTGCACCCACATTCAGAAAAGCTTTTATTAGCATATCATACAGGATGGCTTAAATCATCTCCACAGTAGTCAGTACAACATAGCCTTAATATTAGTTTGGACTTCAGTGCCATTTGCATCACAGAAAGGTTTCTCCTCTCAGACACTACACTGCAGTAACAAATGCTTGGGATGACTATGTATAAGAATTTAAGGACTTACAAAACTGAAATTATGATAATCAGCTCCCAGCCATCACAGACAGAATAATTTTGTTATGAGGAAAAATGAGGAATACTAGTAAAAACTGTTCTGAAGACTTTTCAGGCTTTCTAATGTGTAGCCATGAGCACTAGATTAGTGCAGCTATTTTGATACTCCATGCCTTGTAAGCCAAATGAAAGCGCCCACAATATCACTTTTTGCACCAGTGATTTATTTAGTAGCTTTACACAGGTTGTCTTACTCAGCATATGAGGTTATTACCACATCAACTCAGAACATTTTTCAAACTTTTGCGTGGCTTTCTAGAGATTGCCCTCAATCCCTCTTGGCTAAATCAGTAAGAATACGTATTGGAGCTGCTTACATGTAGTCACAATATTTCTCTCTATTTACAGTATATTTTACTAGACTCCCACCATTACATCTTTAATACAGATTACCACATTAGACAATTACAAGAGGTGTTTTTATGCTAAGAAATCATTCGGTTTCAAAGTAGTTCAAGTCAAGATTTGAAGTGACTTGAAGTCAAAAGTCTGCCCTGGTTCAAGGTTTCAAAGTTTTATTCTAATATCAGAATGTTAGATTATTTTATGCTTTAGGTAAAAGCTAGTTCAAGGGTCAAGATGGATGATGAGCATGTTTTCAAAAATTTGGACAGAGTACCAGAAAATCAGGTTATACTATATTGCACAACTGCAGGTAAGTTGGAGTCACTATGGATTCATTTGGTGGATCTTGGTGAAGACAACACAACCAGAAAACTTTAACAGAAATACAAATAAACTTCTGTATTCGTATACTTATTTTTTTTTATATATGTACTAATAAATATAGTTTGCATAATTAGCTCATTAATAGGCTATATAAGACTATAGGTTTTCAAGCAATATGAAATCCCTCAACTGTGTTACTATAAATTAGGCAGCTTGTTACTATGGATCACCCTTTCTGCTTGAAAGTTAAGGCAGTTTTACACTGCTGTTACCTGAAAATGTATTTTACATGTACATTCTAATGGAAGCTTATATACTAGCCTGGTAATTGTTATGTCAGAAACTAACCCCAAGTAGAGTGACAACTGATCTCTTTTCCTATGAAGTTCTCTTCACAAGTGCTTACCTTTATTATTTCCCCTCCCTTTAAGAGACAGTAGCAAGAATTACTTTTTTGATGCATGGAAAATAATTCTTCAGTTTCTTCCACCATTCTTCAAGGCAACGGAATAATAAGTCAAAGAAGTCCTTAATGGTTACTACAAGATTTCTTTATTTTTATATGTATTTACACATATACATATATACACACAGAGGCTTGGTTTCTGACCTGGTATGAACTTAAAAGGAAGGTTTCACTGTTTTTTACCTGAAAGCATAAACATTTTAAGATCTTTTTTTTTTTTTAAATAGAGCATTCACTTCTTAAGGTTCCATTACACCTTCACGTCTGCTTCGAACAACCTTCTGCCTAATGTGCTTTTAATTACAACCCTTTGTTTACATTTCATGCCATGATAACACACCAGGTCCTGATTCCGCAGAGGCTTCCAGGCGCTTGGATTAAGCGGGACCATGCACAGACCAACCTTTGCATGGCTAGAAGCAGATTACACAGAGAAGATCCAGATTCTTACCGCTTGGATTTCGCCATTGGATTAGGTGAAGTCTGAAAAGGAAAAAAGATAGGCAACTTTATTTATCTATTTTTACAGATCTGAGGCCCCCAGGTGAGCACCAGTATAATAAAGGAGAAGCTTCACACAGTGTCAGCCCCAAATAAACACAATATTACGTTAGGAAGAGCGTTTACACAGAGAAATACGCCCATCCCCGAACGAAAGAGTTGCTGACAGCCCCTCAGGAAGCCAGCAGCCACCCTCCCACCCTGCCCGGCGCCCACACCCAGCAGCAGCAGGTTACCAAGGCGCAGCGCACACACACAACGAGGCACTCCGGGCGGCGGCCCTCCGCCCGCCTCCTTCCCCTTTTACACACGGCTGAGGGCCCCCAGAGCCCTCCGAGCGCCCTCCTCCAGCGGGAGGCTCGCGGTGAGGCGGCCCCGTCCCCGTCAGCATGGCGCTGCGGGCGCGGGCGCGGGCGCAGGCCCCGTCCCTCCCGGTGCCCGCCATGGCGGCCCACGCAGCGCCGCGCAGCCTCGCCTCAGCGCCCCCCCCCCTTCCCCTCCCGCCGCCCTTATATCGGGCTCCGCCACCCCACCCCGCGCCGCGCCGCTCGCCCGCCCCTCCCTGCCCCGCGCCCGATAGAAGCGGCGCGCCCATTGGCCGCCCCGCCGCCGGCCGGCTGTGTGGGAGGCGGCGATTGGCGGAGCGCGGCCGCCAGCGGCTGCCTCCCCGCGAGTGTGTGTCTCCGGCAGTGTCAATGGCTCCTCCTGCCACGGAGCAGCGACGGGCTTGAGCCGGGCCGGGCCGGGGGCTCCTTTAAGAGAGCGCTGCTCGGGGGGGGCCGCCGAGGGGGGCGCCGAGACATCGTCCCCCGCAGCTCAGCGCTCGGGAGACCTCCGCGGCTCCTCCGCCTCTCGAGCACAGCCGGGAAGGAGGAGGAGAAGGAGGAGAAGGAGGAAAAGGAGGAGAGGAGGCGGCGGCGGCAGCGGGACCCGCACCCGGAGCCCCCTCCTTCCTGCGCCCGCTGCGGCGAGGCGGCCGCCCCGGGGCTCCCTCCTTCCCCCGCGAGCAGGCGCCGGTTGCCGGAGGACCCCCCCCTTCCCCCTTCCTTCCTCCTCCTCCTCCTCCTCCTCCCTGCCCTGCCGCCACCCACACGAAGCCGGCAAATGAACTCGGTCCGAGCCGCCAACAGGAGACCCAGGCGAGTGTCCAGGCCGCGCCCGGTGCAGCAGCAGCAGCAGCAGCAGGAGAGGAACAACGCCGCCGCCGCCGCCGCCGGGGATCGGGGTAAGGCGGGGGCAGCGCCGAGCCCAGCGGGGAGGTGGTGGTGGTGGGGGGGGGGTGTGTGTGTGTGGGGGGGGGAGCCTTGCGAGGCGCCGGGCCCGGCCGGGCAGCGGCAGGAAAAGCCCAGGCGGCGGCAGCGGGGGCTCCCGCTCAGGCCGCGCTTTGTTTGGCTCGGGCTCTGCCCCGGCTCGGGGCTGCGGGCCCTGCCGCCGAGCGGGAGGAAAGAGGAGGGGAGGGGAGGGCTCGGCCCCGGCCCTCAGCCCCCAGCCGCGCTCCCACGCCCGCTGGGGAGGGTGGGGGGCGACCCCCCCCCCCACCTTCACTCTCCCCCTCTGTGGCGGAACGGGGCCAAACGCGGCCCGGGGGCGGCGTCCCGGAGCCCCGCGGCCCTCCGCAGCCCGGCCTCGCCTCGCCTTGCTGCGCAGTTGGGCGCCCGGGCTTCGGTTACGGGGAGGGTGAAGGGGGGGGGGGGGGGCCGGGCGGCCATTTGGTGACCTCCCTCCGCCGCGCCGCCCCCCGGCCGCGGGCCCTGGCGCCTCGAGCCCCTGAGGGCCGTGAGGGAGGGGGCCGGGGCCGGGGCCGGGGCTCGGCCTGGGCGCTGTTGACAATCGGAGCGCAGGCAGGGAAGCGGCACCATTGTCTGAGGGGCCGGCAGGGCTGAGCGGAGCGGAGCGGAGCTGAGGGATCGCCGAGGGGGGAGCCCGGCCCTTAATGGAGGCCGGAGCCCGATCGCTGCTGGGCGCTGCTGAGGGGGGCGGCGACGACGACGAGGAGCCGAAAAGAAGGAGGGGAGGGGGGGGGGTCCCTGAGGCCCGGGGCTGCCACCGCCACAGGAGCGGGTCCTCGGGGGGGTGCCAGCAGCGTGCTCCCTGCATTCGCGGATTTTTTTTTTTATATATTTTTATTCCCGTTTATTTATTTATTTAATTATTTATTTATTTCCTAAAGGCGAGATGGGGGTGGGATTGGAGGAGACATTTTGCATGTCTTATCTGGTGGACGGGGGGGGGGGGGCGATTTTTAATTTTTCCTGCGCTGGCTGTCACAACTCTGGCAGGATGAAGGCGAGGCTGAGCCCGCGGTGCAGTTTGAGGCGTACCAAATGTCTTCGTAAAATCACACACACACAAAAAAAAAAAAAAGGCAAAAAAAAAAAAAAAAAGCCCTCATTGTCAGCTGAATGTCTTTTGTTTGAGTATCCAGGATATCGCATCGAGAGCGAGGTATTTTAGCTGTGGAGATGCGTCACCGTAAATATCCCGGCGTGTTTGTGGCCATCAAAGCGTTTTAATCGAACGAAGTAAATAAAATTCAAGCCGAGGAAGTATTTTTAATTCTCCATTCCTCCCCTCTCCCCTCCCTCCCCTTCCTTCCCCCGCCCCCCCTCGCACACATTGGTCAGAGCAAAGAATGTTCCCCGGACCAGCTCGCTGTGTCTATACCAGAGGATGTGATGTCTTATGCCCAATTATGGGGCTTGTGTAAATCTTCCCAAATCTTCGGCAATTATATAATTAAAATGACTTCACTGGTAAACTGACATTACAAAAAAAAAAAAAAAAAAGAAACACTTCCTCCTCTCAATGATACGCACTGAGGATTTTCATCGCTGACGTTCCGTACGCACAACACAGAATTTTTTCCAGCCCCTGAGTTTTCTTCGTATTTTAAACAGATGAAAATACAGCCTCTAAGAGGCACCCGGAAAGGCGTGCTTATAAATTACACGCTGTGATTGTTCAGTTTTATGTTAGACTGCCTGTCTCAAACCATTCACATGTTACTAATTTGCTAAAGATCCAAGCAGAAACTTTTCCTGTTAAAGTATGAGACTGCAGTTTATTTGCATTACTCTGATATTTTGTGGAACTCTAGGTTAACCTTTTTATTTTATTTTTATTTTTTTTCTTACATTGTTACTGCTGTTTACCACTCAATGGTGGTAACTGCTGAAATTACTGCTCCATATGGGTCACTGCTAGCTTTTTCCTTCCATTTTTGAAGGTCAGTTGTGCTAAGGTCTGGCTTGCTGAAAAATGCATTATTAGCATTAAGGGCTTTTGTATTAATTTCATATTTACATTGAGGGTATCTCTAGCACATTTCCTATTCCCATCTCAGAACTTGTATGGTCAGATTCAGTATCTCTGGAAGCTAATGCCACTTTTACCTGTGACTTTGATGGCTTTGTACAGGGCTGTTACTGGAGAGGATAAGGAAGAATGCTACCAAATGAGAAGTCAGTATAAAAGGGTTAAACTATACCACACAAATCAGCACTGACTTTTTTCACCTTTATTCCCAAGCAATGTAGGTCGTCTTAAAAAAAGTCTGTGTAAAAGAAGCAGTGTAAGTTATTAGCAGAGGGTTTCTATTAAAATCAGATTAAAATTTGTTTAAAAATTATTATTAGATAATGTGAGTGTGCCTGTGATTAAATTAAAATTATTTTTTTGTTAAAACTGATTCTGCTCGTCCTTCACATCACAGTAAGGAGGATCTTACAAATACTGTAGAACAGAGTATATAGTGCAGCATGCAGTTAATCTTTGGAACTTCTTGTTGTTTCGTATCATTAAGGTGGATTGCTTAGTAAAATGAGTGCTAGATCCTGAACTTTATTTATTATTTAATGCTGCATAAGTACACTGTGTTTGCATCTGTGCAACAGCTGTTAAAATTTCATTATTGTGAGTCTAAAATCTAGAGTTATGACTCCTTTTATTAATACATTGCTAGGAAAAAAAGGTAAAGAAATCCCCTGTCAAAGGTTCCTTGTAAAGGTTTAAAAATCAAATAAAGTTGTGTTGTATAATGTGAGATTATTCTTAATGTAATATATTTTATACATGTAGTATGAATAGATCTAATGAACGTATAATGGTGCTATCTATACTGTAGATTGGTAAATAATGATTGTGTACCTTTCTTCTGATTACTTTGGGGAAAGGAGATCATAAAAATCCCCCCCCAACTTACTGTGTACAGCCAAGATAAGATGTCATCAGAATATAGTTCCCAAGATGTTTTGCCTTATGTTCTGCTGTTCACACCTCCCTCCATCTAAATTAGCCACTCTGACTACACTATGCTACTTCTGTTTTACCTTCTCCCTCCTGATCTTTCCACAGTCACCAGTGGCGTTGCCAGTGGTTTCTTCTGTGGTTTTGGAATTCTGCATGAAGGATACAGAATGGATGGGTCCTTTCATTTGATTTAGGACAATGGTCTGTCCAGAAGGAAATTTAGACGGGCTGACGTCTGTGTTTAAAATATTCCTATGTTTGCTTATAGTGCTTTTTATTTATTTATCTATTTTCTGTTTGGCTACAGTTTTAGGAAGAAAACAAGGTTAGGCGCTTTAAAAAAAAAAGTCAGAATGCAGCTAAACTTAACCTCAAAGCTATCGTGTATGATATTTGTTTTTTTTATTGTTTTTACTCCTCTCAAAATTATAACTGCATTAGTGCATATGTGCTTCTTCATGATGCCAGCACATTACTGTCTATGGTATTAATGAGGTTCTGAGCATTATGTCCAGTATTAAGTGTTTTCAGGATTGGACCTTGCATGTTGTTAAGCACCACATGTAGAGCACCATCACAGCTGGTGGGGTTGCCGTGATCCTGCTCGCCTCTTTTATATGGTTTTGGTATTCACGTGACAAGGCAGTGAGCTGGCTGTGCCAAAAACCAACTCCTTTTTTTTTTTTTTTCTTTCCCAGGTGTATTTTTGGCTTGAGTGCCAGTACAAGGGAAGGGATAACACTGAATGCCTGTGGGTGTGGTGGGACGGTGGCAGCTCCGATTTAGATTGGGCTAAGTTGGGTCAATACTTCTGCAGTTGGGGCATAGGGAATACAGCTCGTATACCTACCTGGCAAGCTTGCTCATTTTTTTCCTCTCTGTTCTGTTTTCCAAACAAAACAAGGCTTTCATACCCGTACATTCTGTCTGTCTGTCACTCTGCAACTTCTGAATTTGTTAGCTCATTCCAACCAGATTTGACAAAGGGGTGTGAAGTTCTTAAGTTTTGTGGAAATAGTTGAATGGGCAGAGAAAGAAGACAATGAGGGAAAGACAGTTGTAACTTATCCTCCCTACCCATGCCAAGAAGCAACAGCCAGCTGGCCTGTCAGCACACAAGGTAATTGAATTAGTCACTTGTCTGTATAGGGGACACGAGTGCTTGAAGTACTGAGGGGAAGAGTAGGTTAGGCTGTGCAAGACACAAACATGTAGAAACTAAGCTCCAGTAGATCTCTTGCTCACACAGCTTGAATTTTG